GAGAGAGAGAGAGAGAGAGAGAGAGAGAGAGAGAGAGAGAGAGAATAAATGAACATAGCCTCATAGACATAGGGGAATTTTGGCTGAATCTACTATTATGCATATAGATTCCCAAAAGGACAGTGGAAAGAGGCAAGACTGAAAGAAATAGTGGCTGAAAATGTTCCCCAAACAGCAAACGACAAACATATAGAACAAAAAACAAGAAGATGATAGGAAAATCTCCAAGCACTTGGAAACAAACGCATACTTTTAAATAATCCATAGGTCAAAATGAAAGTTTTGAGAGAAGCTAAATTAAACTGAATGAAATGCATTAAACTGAATGGAAATTAAAATACAACATATCAAAACACATGGCATGAAAGTAAAGCTGCGAAGAGAGATTTGTAGGACAAAATGCTTCCCTTAGAAAAGACAAAAATGTCTCAAATCAATAAAGCTCAATCAAGAAAAAAAATTAGAAAAGCAAAATAAACTGAAAGCAAAGAGAAGAAAAGAAATACTAAAACAAGAGTAAAGCATTAATGAAATTTTAAAACAATGAATCAAATCAATAAAATATGACCTAATTCTTTAAAAATATTGATAAAATTGGCCAAATTTTTACACATATGAACAGACAAAAGAAAACATTTTAATATAAGGAAGGAAATGGAATGTCATTGCTGATCTTACAAGCATCCAAAGGACATAAAAGAACACTGTGAACAACTCTATGCACATACGTTTGATAACTCAGCCAATCCTTAAAAAGTAGAAGCCACTGCAACTCATTCCATATGAAACACGTAATTGGAATAACTCCTTACCCATTAAGAAAACTCAATTCATAATTTGAAACCTCTTAAAAAACAAATGTACAGGCCCAGATGGTTTCACTAGAAAATTCTACCAAATGTTTGAAGAAGAGTTAACACCAGTCCTACATAGTCTACTTCAGAAACCACGAGGGACCACTTTGCAACACCTCAGTGCACCCATTACTGACCTAATGCCCAAAGTAGGCAAAGAAGGAAACAAGAATTCAGACCAATGTCCACATGAATATAGGTGTAAATATTCAGTGTTATGTGAAAAGAATCCTATACTAGGACAACATGAGGTTTACTTTAGGGATTCAAAGCAGATTCAGTACTCGGCAATTAATTGATGCAATTCTCCACACTGATACAGTAGAAAGAGAAATCGGAGTCAGACATGGTGGCACATTCTGGTAATGTCTGCACTCAGGAGACCAAGACAGAAGAATCACTATAAATTTGATACCAGCCTGGGCCACATAGTGAGTTCAAGACCAGCCTGAGATAGTCCTGACAGGGCTTTGAGCTGCACCAGAATATGGTGGAAAAGAGACCAGCATGCAGCATGCATGAAAGAGACAAGCCAAAGAGGCAGTCCTGTTAATAACCACCTGCTCTTGCAAGAACAACCCCCTCCCATGAGCAGGGCCTTAGTTGCGCTTAATGCCTTTATCGCAACAAGAGCTATCCAAGCTGAGTTTGAATTTTGGAGAAGAGAAGCCATGTTCAAACCACAGCCATGGTGAAAGGCTAAGATCAGAACAAAGCCAGGATCCTTGAGGACACTGAGAGTTATATTCAAGAATAATTATAACGAAATTATATTCAATGTAATCCTGTCCAACATACTACTGGAATTGGCAGCCAGTGTGGCAAGGCAAGGAAGATAAATATAGACCCAAAAAGAAAAGAAAAAAAACAAAAAACTACCCTGTCTTTGCAAATGGTATGATGGTCCACATAGCAAATGTGTAAAAGAAATTATCCACTCAAAATTGATAAAGTGGACCTTGTAAAAACTGAAATGTTTAATCTGAGAGGATTAAAAAAAAGAAGCGATAGAATGGGAGAAAATATTTGTTAATTACGTACCCGACAAAGGACTCCTGCCTGGAAGATAAACAATATCTAAGAATTGAACACTAAAAATCAAACAGTTCATCTCAAAAATGTATGAAATGCATGAAAAAACCTTTTACTGAATAGGCAACAAATAAATGCATGAACAGCCATCCTCATCACAGCTGACAGAGAGATGCCAACTAAAGTCACAGTGAGAAATTGCTTTGCACCTAATAGAATGGCTAAAGTAACCCATACAGAGTGGGGATGCCTGACTCTGGTAAGAAGGCAGAGAAACAGGACCCCACGTTCGTTACCAGTAAGACTGTAAAATGGTACAGAAACTCTGGAAATAGCTTGGCAGTTTCTTTAAAAACTAAAACTATGCTTACGTTATGACACAGCAATTGGACTGAGCATTTATTCTAGAGAAATGAAACTTGTGCAGCGCTAAAATAAGTGCATGATTGTTCATAGCAGTAGGGTTTTTTTGTTTATTTGTTTAATTGGGTTTTATTTTTTTGGCTTTTTTTTTTGTATTGGCCATAAACTAGATTTAATCAAAAACTCTTGGCAGGGGGGGCGACACGGACCACTACTAGGCCACATAAAGGCGCTCTATGGAAATACACAGCAACTTGGATGGGTCTCAAGGGCATCATGCTGAGGGGGCAGGAACCCAACCTCCAAAGTCTGTGTATGTGCTATTCCATTTTGTAATTTCACAAAGTCATAGAAATGGGAAAGAGGTCAGTGGTTGGCTGGGTGTAGGCATGGTGAAGAAGGGGAGAGTGGATAACTTTAGAGAGGCAGCATCAGTGAGCCGTCTTTGGTAAGTGAAAGTTCTTTATCTTGACTGTGGTGGTAATGATGTAAGTCTACACATACGACAAATGGCAGGACTGTGTACCTTACAGTACTAACGTCACGTTGCTGGTGTAGGTATAGCGCTGCAGTGTTGGAAGGTGTTACCACTGAGGAAACTAGACGAAGCTTACCCAGGTCCTCCCAGTATTATTTTTGCAACTTCCTGTGAATATCAGTTTCAGATCAGAAAGTGAAGTATAGCTTCATCTTTTATGATGTTGGAAAACTGGCAAAAGCCAACCTCTGGTGCTGGCCGTCAGGGTCATGGGCCCTCCTGGTAGGGCAGTAGCTGGAAGTGGGGTGCAGTGGGGCTTCTGTACAGGCAGTCTTCTGCACCCTGACCTCAGGACAGTCACAGGGGTGTGATCAGGTGGCAGTTCATTAACAACACAAAATTTCCAAACCTTTTTTTGTCAGTATGTCACATACTGATGAGAATTTATAGTACAATAGGTGAAAAGAACATTTCCGTATCGACTGCCTATAAATATGGACAAGCATGTTCTAGAAGGCCGAGAGAATGTGCTTGCCTTTGAGAGGGGGGTCTGAAAAATAGAGGCATGAAAGGAGGCCTGCTTTCTCTTTTGAACTGAATTAAAGGAATATGGACCACAGAATTTCCATCTGTCTCCAGCCCAGGAGACAGCCCCAGCCCCTCCCACTTCTGGTCCCAATAGGTCTTGGGCTACCTCTGTGACATCACCGACCACCTCAGAAGGATGAGGCTTTTAAGCCTGTAATTGCCCTCAGTCTAGACAGCTGTTAGTTGTATCAGTCGCTTAATCAATCTCTGCGGGTTGTCTCCATAATGCAACTGCTTTCCTGGAAGGCCAGACGGCGGGCCCCACCCCACATCCAGGCCAGCGGGGGCTCCTCTTTCCTGCTCATTGAGAGTGTGCATTTCTGTCCCCTGAGGAGCCCCAACCCGACAGCCTCTCACCTCGCTTCACATGTGCACTGCCTTCACCTACCCCATTCTGTGCAGCTCCAGAACCTGAGGCCTCCTCTAGGCCCCACCCTTTCTGGAAGGTCTGGGGTAGGATGAAGAGAACTCAGGCTCCGCGCTACGCAGCCTCCAGATCACGTTTTTGATTTGCAGTATTTTCCACTTATGATGGGTTCGGAATGTCACCCAGTGTACACAAGGAGCACCTATGCATATATTACAGATGGTTGCTTTCACAGGGAATCAGCTCCGTGATGAGCTAGTTTACCTTCTGTACTAGGTCTCTGAAGCCATGGGAATTTCCATTGTCCCGCTGCCCCTTGGGACAGCCAACGTCACTAGCCAGCACTCCGGCCGGACCTTGGCTCACAGATGGCCCGCTCTGTTTTGACCAGGGTCAGCTCCTGAGCGTCTCGGCAGCCCACGGGGATCTGGAGATGGTTCGGTATCTACTCACCGAGAAACGCGTGGAGCTGCCCACGGAGCCCACCGACGACAACCCTGCCGTGGTGGCTGCGCATTTCGGGCACACTGAAGTTGTTCAGGAACTGCTTGAGTCCTTAGCAGGTAAATCACAGCTCGCTAGCTCCCAGCCCTTGGGGCCCTCTCCTTAGGCTTCAACTAAAATTCTTGTTTCTTCAGGTCTCAGCAATGAAATCAGGAAGTCTGGGGCATCCGCCTGACACCCCAGAGTACAGACTGCCTGCCGCTCATGTGCTGGTGGGGGGATGCGCTACAGACCTGGCAGGACAACCTTAGGGCCCACCCTAGGGCACCATGCCCTATGCTTTCCCCACTAACCTGCAAGGCAAGCACTCCTCCACCATTCTTGATAAAGAATATATCCATGCAGTCTATTTTTATTTGTCTATTTTCAGAATAGTTTTAGGATTTGAAAAAAATGATAGCAAAGTACAATGTGCTCCTATATCCCCCTCTGCACAGCTTCCTCCAATATTTACATTTTGCATTCATTTGGTACATTTGTTTTAACTGCTAAGCCAATGTTGATACATTAGTACTGAACTCCAAAATTTATAGTAGGAATTACGTTCAATGTCACATGTCCTATGAAGTGTGACAAATATAAAATAACATGTGTCCACCATTACTGTATCACACAGAACAGCTTCACTGGCCTATAAATATCCTGTTGTCTATTCATCCCTCTATCCCCCCAGCAACCATTGATCTTTTACTGACTCCCTAGTCCTGCCTTTTCTAGAATGTTCTATCACTGGAATCACACTGTATCTGGCCTGATTGGTTTCTTTCACCCTAAGAATATGTTTTTGAAGTTCTTCAATATGTTTTCATGATTTGATAGCTCTTTTTATGACTGAGTAATAGTCCCCTGTGGGGATGAACCAGGTTGTGTTCCGCCTTTGCTGGTCCCAAGGTGTCCTGGCATCCTGTAATTTCCCATGATGGCCTGAGCTCAGTGGCAGTGGGCAGGTCCAGGCAGGCAGCACTACAACTACAATCTGGAACAGACCCAAGAAATGCTCTTTGGGAGTTGGAATTTTGCTGGGGATCAGGGATGGCTTCATGTGCCTAGAATGGCCCCACTCCTAGTTTAATACTCTATAGCTCCCACCTTGAAATTGTTCATCATTTTTAAAGGACCCTGTTTTTGTTTCCATTTTGGATTGATCCTCAACCATAGTGTGACATTTCTCTTGGGGGTGTCCCACTGTGTGCTCTGAGACGGATCTATCCTCACAGCCACCTCCGAACTATGCCACCCATGTGCTGGTGGAGGGATGAGGTTACAGACCTGCAGGACAACCTTAGGGCCCACCTAAGGTGACTGGATGAAGCAAGACATGAAAGGGCAGAGGGGAGCCCAGACGTCCTTTAAGGAGCCACAAGCTGACGCTCTTCAGAGACTCCTAGATGAGATTAGCTCTGTCCCAGCCCTGAAGACAGACTTGGCCACTGAATTGTACGGTTCACCATCACTGAACATTTGCTATGAACTGAGACCCTCAGAACCTGAGAGACAGAGATTGCTTTGTGGTTTGTTTTGTTCTGTTCTGTTTTTACACTGAGTCTTGCTATGTGGTTCAGGCTAGCCTTGAACTTAGTGTGCAGCCCACGTGGCCTCAAACTTTCAGCTGTTGCCCTGCCCCAGCCTCCCAAGTGCTGAGATTACAAGCATGGGCCTCTATGCCTGGCTACAGGATGCTTTAAGAGGTGGTCCCAGCTCTCTAGTGGGCCCCAGGAAAACAAGAGAAATCAAGTTAGAAAGAAGTAACTGTGCAGTGTAATTGTGCTGAGGTTGGAGTCCTTACGCAGAGATTTGGGAGCATGCATAAGGGATGATCTTGCCTGCCTGCCAGACTGAGTCTTCAGAGAGGGGCTGACATCTGAGTGAGGCTTTGCAGGGTGAACAGGAGTTTACTTAGCACAGACAAGGGGAGGGCTTGGGTTGCCTGCTGCTACATGCAGGAAGCTGGGCTGGAACTCAGCATCCTGTCTTCCATCTCCGGGCAGTTGTTGAGAACTGAAGGATTCCAGAACATTGTGTCGAAGCCCACAGGAAGTGCACAGAGAGCCAGCCAGCGTGTGCCTCAGGGAAAACTGCCATGCTGGAGGGGAGAGAGTCAGGCAGGAGCGAGGTAGGACCCAGAGGCGAGTGGAAGAGGCAGCCAGAGAAGGAAGTAGGGCTCAAGGGGAACACAAGAGGCTGACGGGACAAGGTCCTTCAAACTCTGCTGAGACACAGTTCCTGGTCTGAGAAGCTGTGGGCAGGGAGGTGAGGTGGACACCAGATGGAGCGCACTCTGAGTGTTGATTTGAGGCCTCAAAGAGTCCATGTTGGGTTCTCTGTGGCTCTGCTCACACCCTTTGGCTTTAGACAAAACAGGATTTGTCTTGACTTTGCCATTTAGCAACTCTGGGATGTTCTGCAAGTCTCCAGCCTCTCTGAGCCTGGCTTCTTAAAGCTTGTGAAATGTAATAAAATAAATTAATGTATTCTGAAATGTAATCAATGCCCTGTCTTAGATTGGTGCATCCACATCGTGGCAGAAGGCAGCAAGACAACAGCTGCCCTTCCCTGGCCTCAGTCACTTTGCAGGGAACGAGTCAGAGATCACGTGCACTGCTAGTAGAGCTCTGACTTGTTCCAGGTGGCAGTGGAGGGTTGTCATCAGCTCCTGCCCGGGTTCTGTGCCAGGAGGCTTTTTTTGTTTTTTTCATTTTTCGTTTTTCTTTTTTTTTTTTTTTTGGGGGGGGGGGGTACAGGGTCTCTGTCTCGGTTACTTTTTTCTCATTGCTGGGACAAAATCCCTGACACCCAGAATCAAGAAAGGAAAGGCTTATTGGGCTCACAGTTGGTGGAGGTTTCAGTCCATACTCAGCTGGCTCCAAGGCAGAGTGGCACAGGGCAAAGGGCAGCCATTCATGGCATCAGAAAACAGCAAAGAGCCAAGGGAGGAGCAGCTGCTGTGGTAGCTAGCCAGGCTCTCTCCTTTCTTCTACTGTATGCAAATTACCCAGGTCAGGGTGTGAAGGGCGCTCACACCCATAATCCCAGCTTTGGATCATGAATTCATCACAAACCCGAGAAGCCACACGAATGACTTCATGAGGTTTTGGGGGACAGCTAGGTACAAATCATTCATTAGCAGTCTCGCTATGCAGTTTGGACTGGTAGTGATCCTCCTGGTCAGCCTCCCCAGCGCTGGGATCACAGGTGTGTGCCGCTATGCCTAGGTCTAAGCCTAGCGTTATTTCCACACTCATAATTTTTATTGAGGAGCTTGCTTCTATTCTGTCTGCGCTCTTTGACAGGCAGAGAGGTTTGCATGCAGTACTGCAGGGAAATGTCACATGCAGCTCCAGGGGAACAGCTCCAGAACACAGTCCACGCACAGCACTGTCCTTCCGCTGGAGAAGAGCTTCATTTTAGTAATAATAGTCAGAGCGAAGGACGCGTGGGAGTAAACTGACTGCCTGGGTCCTGTTGCCCCGCCAGGTCCCTCCAGCCCCCAGCGCCTGCTGAACTGGATGCTGGCCCTGGCTTGCCAGCAGGGGCACCTGGGCATCGTGAAGCTGCTGGTCCTGACGCACGGGGCCGACCCCGAGAGCTACGCCATTAGGAGGAACGAGTTCCCAGTCATCGTGCGCCTGCCCCTCTACGCGGCCATCAAGTCGGGTGAGTGCGCCCCGCACAACTGAGAGCCGTGCTTCCCAGACCTGGTCACCTCCAGAGCAAGCTGCGCAGCTCCCCTACTCTGGAGCCTCCTCCCTGGCCTCCCCCTGTCCCTAAGGGGATTCCGGTGATGGGGACCAACTGTGGCAAATGGGCCTTTGGATGAGGTACTCCGGAGAGCAGATGCCCACGGAAGCCCCTCGCTGCCAGGAACCTGATGTGACCGGGAAGGAGACAAGCTCAGGGTACAGCTCTTTGCGACAGCAGCAAGCCACTCCTGTCCGAACATCCTTAGTTTGCTTGCTTTCTGACTTACGCCACCTCACTTATTTCTGCTATTTATTTTCCATTACAGCGCCGGTGATCACACCCATGGCCTTTGCACTAAGTTACATCCTCAGCCCGCTTTTTATTTTGAGACAGAATCATACTGAGTCGTTAAATTGCCCAGGTCGGACCTGAATTTGGGATTTCTTCTGCCTCAGCCCTGGGGGCGCTGGGATTAGCGGCATGCCGCCCACACCCGGCTGTCCTCAGCTTCCGTGCTTTGTCCACTAGGGAACGAAGACATCGCCATCTTCCTGCTCCGGCACGGGGCGTTTTTCTGCTCCTACATCCTCCTGGACAGTCCCGACCTCAGCAAGCGCCTCCTCCGGAAGTACTTCATCGAAGCCAGCGCGCCGCCCAGCAGCTGCGCGGGGAGACCGGTGAGTGCTGGCGCGTGGGGTGCGGCCGGAGCCCCCGCTTCCGCTACCATTTTCTCACATGTTCCTGAATTGCTTACGTGAGCCAAAACAGCTAACAATTTCTCTTTCGAAAAATGCTCTTTATTACATTTTTAAATCCACAAAAGTTATGTGCTTGTTGCTATAACTAGTGAAAACGATGGGAAAATGTAATACAAAATGCCAAGCCTGTCTATCTTATGTACATTAAATTACATACAATTTGGTAAGGAACTCTTGGCACTTTTGCATATGCAAAGCCATAGAAGCGTTTATAAGCACATACAGGGCTTAATTTTAATTATTTTCTATTTTCATACAAAAGAAACTTGTATTATTTACATTATACTGCATTTGATTTCTTAATGCAGCATTCTCTTAAATTCCCACTAGACTAGTTGCTACGGCTGCAACTCCAAGAGAGCCACTGAGGGCCGGCCAGATAGTTCAGCAGACTAAGTGCCTGCTTAGGCAAGTGCAGGGTCTGGGGTTCAATCCCTGGCACCACTCGCTGCACCAGTCCCACCCCCAGGCACCATGAGCCGGCCACCGAGACCACGTGTGGTGGCACGTGCCTGTAATCTCAGCACTGGGAAGGCTGAAAACAGGAGGATCACTACCAGTCTAAGCTGCATAGTGAGATCCTGCACAAAATACGAAGAGAGAGAGAGAGAGAGAGAGAGAGAGAGAGAGAGAGAGAGAGCCACTGTCACTTAGGTATCTGTCCTCTCTATCCCTGCACCTTGGTCACCTGTAACTCTACTGACCTTTTTCACCAGCCTGTTGGATTAAACCATCAATTTTTTCAATTTCCATTTATTATTACTTTTTACAATCTTTTTAATTTATTTATTTGGTACATGGTCTCGCTACTCAGTTTAGACTTGTAGTGATCCTCATGCCTCAGCCTCTCTAGCTTGGATTATGGGCAGGCACCACCACGCCCAGTTTCCCTGGCCAGCTCAGTAGGGGCCAGCATGACATGCAGTGCCAGGGATTGAATCCGGGTCCTTGTGCTTGCCAGGCGGGTGCTTACACCACCGAGCTATCTCCCTACCCCAATTTCTTTTTTTTTTAATTACCACTAATTTTGACCATATTTTTCATATGTTCCTAAACTATTTGTGTCCCACTTGTGTAGCTACCTGTTAATGTTTGATGATGACTTTCCTAAGTGACTGTTTATCTTTTCCTTGCCACTGTGGAAGGTCTTATGCATATTAAGGGTTGCAAGCCTTTCTTGATCCTACATGTTGCAAAGTATTTTTCCCAATTTTTCTTTTGTCTGTTAGCTTTTGGGATAAAAAGATGTAAGAGTACAGAATCAGCTGTGCTTATCTTCTGATTGTATGAGAAGGGCACCTTCACTCTAGTTTTATATCATTGCCCTCCTGGAGATACAGTTCTATGTATTTGCTTTTTACATTCAATGCTTTAGTTTTTCTAGTTTTTATCTTATTGTTATCTGAGGACAGGGTGTCCAGCTCATGTCTGTTCTAGATAGAGGGCCAGTTATTCCAGCACAATTTTAAAAATGAAAGTTTTTTTCCCCTGTGAACAGAAATGTCACTTTTAGCATTTTCACATGTATTGATGTACATTTTTAGTTTTCACATATTGGTATTCTAGTCTAGCCTTCAGGTGAATTCTGTGCCCTTTTTATTGTGTGCATTTTCTTTTAAACCTTCTGATCTGATAGTACAAGTTGTCTGCTCATTTTTTCAAAGTTAATTACTGAACATTTGCTCTGTTTTGCACAATTGCCATGGTCACTAAGTAGTGTTGTCCTTTAATGAGTTTTTATACCTTTGTTCCTAAAGATCTTGGATCTTGTTGTTTATTTACTTATTGTTTTGTCACCATTTGAATGAAATAGATATAAATATGACCCTTCCCATTGCTACTTCCAACCTGCTGTTACTGCCTTTATTAATGGAAACAAGTTGTTTCATCATTTAGGTTTTAATGGTCCTCTTATCAACTGCCCTTATTAATTCTGCTAGTTTTTGGTAAAGTTCCCTGAGATATGTAGGTATATGGTTAAGAATCCACAAGTTCAAAACTAGTTCGTCTCTTTCAATATTTATATAACTTACTGCATTCCATGTCTTCTTGTGCATCACTGGTAATTTTAAGAGTTGAATAGTCATAGAAGTAGCAGATGTACCTATCTTGTTCCTGATTTTAAAGGTCTTGGTGTCAGCAATGTTCAAGCATTTGCTGTCGGTTTCCAATGAGGGAGTACTGGCTAAATTTAGGTAGTTTCCATGTGTTCATTTTCACTAGAGCTTTTATTAGGCAGGTATGGGGCAGCTTCCGAGGTCCACGGATTCACACGCCTGGCTTCGCTCAGCGTGCACTAGCGATGGCTCCGTGACCTAGAGTTACCTGTCTGCGTTGTAGCACATCGTTACTTCAGTCCCGTTGGTGTCCAGTTCTGGGAGCCGTCTGCTCTTCATATGGCCATGTCCTTTTTCTTTACTTCCACATTGAACAATTTTTCTCAGACCTTTATTTTCATTATTTTTCTTTGTCTCATATAAAGAGCATTGCGTTTTAAATCCTATCCATGTGTTCTGAAAGAATCCGCGTACTTCACATTCTTTGGGGAAATGCCACACTGGCTTGTTCCTTCTATCCTTTTCTTATTTACTGCTCTTTCCTTTTACCCTTCCCTTACTCTCTTGTTGCTAAAGAGTATCGAGATGCTACTTTCTGTACCTTTTACCTTTCTGTGTCTTGGTTGGTTTTCTGAGCTTGGAAGCAGAGAGAATTACGATGCCTACCACAGACTACAATGTGTGCTTAGCACAAGACCTACATAGAGTAAGAGCACAGGAGATACTGATGTTGTACCTACCCGCCTCACCTTGCCAAAGGAAATAAGGTCCTCTAACCCTTGCATTTATGCTTTGCTTGACATTTTTCTCAGTTTTTCTTACTGTATTTGGCCCTCATAGCACCTCAGTAAGCACTGCAGGGAACACAGTGTATTTTGCAGATGAAAATATGGAGGCCCAGAGACACTGTGCTCCTTGTCTGATGACAGTGAGTCCTAGACAGCAGGGTACCCAGGTAAGAAGAGTACCTGCATTTCCTGAAAGCAGAGTTCTCCCTATTTCTCAGCTCCTGATCTGCGGCTCCCAGGTTTCCTGTAGACAGGTGACGCTTGCTTTTCCGCACACTGAAAGGCCCAGGAGTTTCTAAATGTCAACACTCAATCCATCTCTCCTCTACTGATTAAATCCAAACCTCTGGGTGGGACCAGGCATCAGGAGTTTCAAAATTGCCCAGGTGATTCCAGCATGTACACAAGCTGGAAAGCCCGCAGCTTTGATTTTCTTGGCATGAAGTTAAAAGCAGACATGGTCAGCATCTCTGTCTGAGCTTTCCCGAGGGGTAACCCTGGCTCCTTGTGCCCAGTTTGGCCAAAGGCACAGAAGTGCTGATTGCATTTTGCCAATGAAAAGACAGTGTTGCTTTCCCTCTCTTTGGCTCTGCTTGGTCTAAACAGAAAAGGAAATGAAATTTCACCACGGCATGAGTCATAAGGGCTCCTAATGCTTCCCCAGAGCAGGTGTTACTTTTGTGATTCAGTGAATTTCAAAGGCAAGAGCCTCAGGAGTGGGTGTGTCCTGCTGCCCTGTGAGCTGTGCCCTATAACAGCACATTCCCACTGCCGCTGGCCCAAGAGAGGAGAGAAGGAGCAGCCCAGAAGGGCCCAGCACACAGGAATAATGGCCCGGAAGCCAGAGGTAAGTCTCCTCCTTTGCTAAGTGTGCCCTGGCTGAACTTTCAGTTCCAGATATTTCATTTCCTGTGATAGGCATTAGAAGAGCACTTTACAGATGTTGTACGTGGGCCAAAGGTACCCTTGACATCTGACATTCGTAGCAGCAACCTCGTGAGGTAGCAAGCACCTCACAGCGTAAGTGACCTATGTTGACTCTAGCACCAGTGCAGCCAGCTATAGAGCCACATGGTAACATTTAGAAGGTCACCGTCCCATGTTGCCCTCCTATTCTGTATGTGTTTGTGCTCTGCTGTCCCAACTGCCCACTGTTGAATGCCTTCGCCACCTCAGTGGAAGCCGTGGTGGTCCTTTTACAGTAACCCTCATGCATGATCCTGGGTTGGGCATTACCTGACCCTCAGACTGCTAGATTCTACCTCTGCTGGCAGTGGGAGAACTGCACAAAAGGCCACATTTATTTTCCATGGTTAGCAGCTGGCTCCTTGGGTTTCGTTGGTGTTTGGATAAGGACGGTTCCAGAACCAAGCCACATGGTCTGGTCTTGTTGGATGCGCATTTGAGAGAACCAAAGGAAAGCCAAGCCAGCTCTGGCCAAGTCAGTTCCCTGGCTCCGCATTGGCCCTCTGAAAGCCACCACACTCTTGCCTGAATGTCCAATGCAACAGCCTGTGCTCCTAGTGCACGTCCCATCTGTGTTTCGGTGTTGCCGCAAAAAAATAACACATCACATTGACACCCAGAAAGGAGCAGAAAAGCTAAAAAATGCCAAGAAAGACTTAGTCAGTTCCGGGAATAACCAGGACATGCATCCCAGCTCAGCTTTTAGAGGGCCAGGCAGGCAAACTCGCTCAGGCTGCTTTAAATATTGGAAATAAGGGAGAGCTGAAATTAATTTTGAAACAAGCCAATAGGGAAATTGTTAATTTCCTCTTTCAAAATCTGGCAGCAAACCTAAAGATAGAGAGCACTTATATTTGTTATTATTGTTATTACTTTGGGGATTGGCTCTGGCTTTTGTAGCTTACGAGTTCTGGATGGCCACCCTTCGTGTCCCCATATTGGTGCCCAAATGCACACACGCTGGCCACACTCTCTCCTTGCCCCATGGATCTGGGCATTTGGATTTTCGGGGTTCTCAGTAAAGGAAGAAAGCAGCAAAGGAGACCTCTCAGCCTCTGCTCGGCCTGTGGGAGGTGCTGATGGTGTCAGCTCAGTGATGGCCACCAGC